TATAATGTGTAAACTTTTTGTTTTATTTATAATATTGGTTAAAATTCAATTTTTGGTTCGTGGAGTTTGATTGTTGCGGGTTTTGGTTCATTTGTTGACTGTAGTTGTTGTTGCAGACTGCTTGTGTGAAGTATATGGACTTCAGAAAAGAAGAGAAAAAGGAGATTTAAAGCTCTGAATAATCAAATTATGTCCAGAAAAATATCATTCAGTTATGTGTGATAAAGTATAATATCAACTATCAATCAGAATCTTAGTTCTTGTTATCAAGACCAGAAATCTACATATTGTGTTTGTAATACAAGCCCGTTTGATCAAGACTTGCATTAGGTAAACTGAAGTTTAAATTACAGATATTTCAACACTTGACAAGATCAAGGATTTTCCCTTAATATATAGTGTTTTTTGAACCAACTCATTGGCAGCAGTAGCAATATTTCTCTGTTTTGCTGTTGAGTTGCAGTGTTGTGAAAAGCTGAAATACTAATTGGGTCTGTTTAAAACAGAAGGAAATTATTTTTAACATAGAAAAACTCATAAAATACTAACTGGGTCTATTTAGTAACATAATCCAAAGTTGCAGTAATATGACCCTTGCAATTTAGTGACAAAGATGCAGCCTTTTCTCCTCAGTATTTCGTGTCTGTACAAAAAATTAGCACCATTGCATTGGAAAATATGGTGCATTTAAAATGGAGAAAATGGCAGCAAAATTGCTTATATGAGTCCCAAAACATTTTCATCCAGAAAGCTCTTGGATATGTCCAAATTATACAACAGTGGTGAAAAACCCGCATTTTTCGCTTATCTGTTCCAAATCTTATGCTTGTTAAAAATTGAATTCTCAACTAGTTCCTTGGCAGATGGTCTTCGAACAGGATCAGCATCCATCATAGCCTGAACAGTTAAGAAATTGATAGACAGTTTCAAAGGCTCAGTTTTTAATCAGTTTTTTGGTCCAAAAGTTGTATTCAGGAAAATAAACAAAACAAACAACAAAATAAGCAGAAAAAGGAAAGAAGCGAATAACCATGATTATAAATTATTGTAGAAGCTTATTAGGTGTAAAATCTTATTTGATAATAAGTTCTTGAAATTGTTTGGATAAACCAAAAAGAAGAAAGAAAAATTATAAGAGCTTATTAGATGTTACCCATAGTAGTAGTTTCCTAACTATAATGGCCAAAGCTAAAGGAGGTCCATAAACATAAATAACATGATGAACATGCTTTTTCTTAGTAAAGTTCCGACCTTTTCACATCCATTTCGCTCGGGAATGCATTACGAAAGTAACTACCTATCTTGCTCTATTTTTGCTTACTTCGTGTTAAGAGGTGAAAATAGTTTCTTGGCCGGAATGCATGTGTTGAGCTCGATTTTAGTTAAAGTTTCTATCTTTTGTCTTATTTTGTTTGCCTAGGGTAATTAGGTTGTTAAAGCTTGAATCTTTCGCGGTAAAAGTCGAGACATAATAGTGTGTGCATCGGCTTGAAGAAAAAAAAAAAAAAAAAAAAAAAAAAACTGATGAATTATTAGACATACCTTGATTAAACTCTGGAACTGCAATGAATGACCGGGAAGAAGAGGCAGTTTTCCTTCCCTAAGATTAATAAAATGGGGACCTGATTCGGGTAAAGGTGATCCTCTCACGAGCTCATATATCGAAGCCCCTAATGAGAATATATCAACTCTATCCAAATTATCATACTTCTCATTCAAGATTTCTTGGGGCATGTAACGAGCATCACCCTCTTCAATCGGCAAGCTCTTATCAATGAGAGTCGCACAACCGAAATCACCGAGTTTGTAAATCCCATTTCTCACATAAATATTGTCCGGCTTTACATCCAAATGAGCTATCCCTTTCTTGTGTATAAACTGTAATGCCTTTGCTACCTACAAACGAATAAAAATCATACAGTTATTAAATAATAGTTAAAGGGTAACATACATGCACCTGAAAAATGATAACTCGATGCAAAATCAAGTCTTTTTGGCGAAAAGGGGTCTTATTTTGGATGAACCCAGCAACTAATTCACATACTAGTGGCATACTTATAAGTTATAAACATAAGCACATCAATGGAGAGATTTAGGCTCGGTGTGGTAACCAACTAAGATAGCTTATAGCTTATTTGGTTAGCTTATAAGCTTACTGTATTCAAATAAGTTTCGTTTGGTAGGACAAGCTTTTTTAAAAAGCTCGAGCTTATCTCATTAGTTTCTTTGAGTAGTTTTTCAAACAAGCTCGTTGAAATTTTTATTTTAGCTAACTTATCAGCTAATTTTACCAAACACTTTTATCATATAAGCTAGCTTTTCAGCTATAAGTCATAAGCTATAAGCAAACTAGCTTATCAGTCAGTTTTACCAAACATGCCCTTAAAGCACGTAATTTGATCAAAACCATTCACCTGATGCATGACCTCCAAAGCTTCTCCCTCTGTCAATAATTTAGGAAGTTTATTGATGGATAAGCAAGAATCACACAGCTCCAGTTGAATGTAAAGTTGTTCATTTTCAAACCAAGAAGTGTAGTAGCTCACTATGTTCTCATGGTAACCTGACAAAAAAGGGACCAACCCAGTTTTGAGAATCTCAAACATATTTGGCGTATAAGGTAAATTTAAATTTAAAATTATAACAATTACGCAACAGAACAGACCTAAAGCAGCCAGAGCTTGTACTTCCATCAAAGCTTTGCGCCTGTTATAATATTAAGCATTTGATTAGATGCACAAGAAAGAGACACTCAGAAGAGGAACTGAACAACTAAAAATTAAAATAAATTACCTTTCTGTATCCTGGCGCAACTGTTTCATGCTGATTTTCACTGCATACAAGCTACCGTCAATTCTCTTCAAGACTTTGTAGACATTGTTGAAGTTTCCACTACCAATTTTCTGAAAAAATAATAATACTTCAGCTTTCTCACTATAGTGCTATATGGGATATGATCAAATAAAAAAGGTAGGCAGTCATAAAGGGCCTAGCACTAAGGCGGGATATAACTCGAGCTAGACAGAGACTTTTATAACACTATTTATAAGTAAGCATTTTAATCCAATGTGATCTCAGCATTTTTCTAACCTCTATTTCATGAAAATCTGTCCGATAGCGTGAAAGGCCATCACCACCAATACCCGCAGGGTAAAAACCTAGAGACAAAAGGATTCAGATGTTAACTTAATGCATTGTACAAACTGAGACTCACAGCAGTTATGTTAAACTTAACAATTTCGAAGAACATAATTAAGTAATAATAATATTAGTAGTAGCTATAGTAACAAAATTGAAAATCAAATAAATTAAATATTGCTGAACACCTGCACATTTGGATCTTTGATTATCCAAAGGATCAGAATCGAACTCCAAAATATCTTTAAGGTATGGATTCTTAAGGCATGGAGGAGGCATAACCCTACACCGTAAAGCCACAGCAGATTGTGAAACATAACCACGATTCTTTTGCAACAAGACAGTTTTGTTGATCTCCATTTCATCTGTTACAAGGCTATATTGTGCAAGTTCTTCTACCAATGCTTGATGGCCAATATCAGTTGATTCAGTAGAGGCTTCTAAGTTTGCATCTCCAGCTGCAACACATATGAGCATCAAAATAAAAGAAAACGAAAGAAAAAAAGAATAAACGAACAGGTAATACCAACAACACAACAATAGGCAAGAGTTACTCTCTTGCCAGTTCAAGCAATTTTTCTTCTCAACTTGAATAATTAGCTTTGAATGACTGACCAAGAAAATACCACTCAAGTTCCCCAGCTCACCAAAAAATTTATAATTTCATTTCATATGCAAGCTGAATAAATTAGGCTCTGACTTGGAATTCCGGATGTACAACAGCACTGTTTATGTACCCATTCAATGTTCTCCAAACATACAGCAAGAGGCATGTACTTTAAAACATATCATACTAAACATGAGCAGTAAAATTAACTTCAATGTATACCATAGCTGCATAAGCTGAAGACCCAGATAAAGATTTTCGAAAAAAATAAATAAATAAATGCAATCAAAATCAATTCTTGTGCACACTCACCAAGTTTTTGCCTTTTGCTTCGGTTAGTTTTAATTTTTTCCGGTGACCTTGGGCATTCGAAATTTTCCTGTAACACAAACACAGATAATATTATCACCCACAATTCATATAGATGAGTATTCCAGGAGAAGCCCGAGCTCACCTTGTTCTCACCAGCATAGCTCCCGATAGCCGGCATCGGCGGAGTTATATAATCAGGCGTACTACAATAAATCCCGACAAATCAATTAATTGATAAACCAAATGAAAAAAAAATTAACGAATAAACCCAATAATAAAAATCGATGCTTTTTTTCACCAGAAGAAATCCTGACTAAGGATGAAATCTCTATCGTCGGCGGCGTTTGCATCGGAGTCCTGGGGCAGAGGCTCGGAATCCAGAAGCTTCTGGGACAGTGAGGGGTTGACCGGTTGGAGAGGCGAGTTCAGGTAGAAGTGGTCCAGCTGCACCGTCAGGTGATTAGCCAATGTTCCTTTCACCATTGTCTCTGAGTTTTTGCTGTGCCTCTTTGTATTGCTTTTCCGATTTCCCCTAAGTAGGAATTTCCTCTTCATAAATTCAATTCAAATCCCACAATCTTGTCTCTTTCAGTGAAGCTGCTTATATATGGGTATACATTGGAAAGCAGGAAAAATAACACAAAGGGGGAATAAAATAATGGAGAAAATGAAGTGGGAGACCAAAAAGATTAGAAAATGGAAGTGTGAAATTATTCAAATTAGAGCGCGTGGCGGAGTGGAGGGAAAGTAAAAATGCATTTTGGGGATTGGGTCGAGTGTCCTAAGTGTCCATTGGGCCGCGTCGGGCCGTTGACCCCACAGGTCAGGCCCATTTATCAACTAAATCGGGCCCATCGACCATTGTTTTGAGCCAAGATCAGGATCTGTCCCGTATATTGCATGGGTCGATTCTGGTTCAAACTTTCAAAGCATTTTGATAGAGGTGGGTTTTGGGTCAACCCAAAATCGATCTGATTCATTAAAGAGTGATTTTTTATAGATTCAACTAGTTTTTATTTAGTTTGTTTTTTAATCATAGTTAGTTTTAAAAAAGTGGTATGATTAGTTGTTTGTGGATATATTAAAATAATATTTAAATAAAATAATTAAAGTTGATTTGATGTAAAGTAGGAGAAAAATGATTTGAAGTGATGGTTAGTTAAAATTATGTGAGTGGATGAATAGTGAATTAAAGTTGATGTGATGCGTAAGAATGGTTGGTTGATATTATTTAATTATATTGATATTATTGAGAATAGTGGAGTTGGATTAAAGTTGAGTTAAATTTGAGTTTTGATTGATTTTTTTTAGGTTGAAATCATAAACAATCACCCCTTAGGTTTGCGTCGTAAATTGCTGGTCAAGCTGAGCTACAAGTTATATGGTACAAGATAAAGAATTATCATAGTCTTAGATGACTTAAGGTGACATGTGTCGTTTTAAATAAATATATATTATATTTTGTTAATAATTAAAAACTAGTACGACACCCGTGTACTACACGGGTTGTTTGAAAAAAAAATATATAAAACATAAAATAATAGAAAAAACACATGAACTATTTCAATATATTTGTATAGATAATCTAAAATGATTTAAATAATTTATTTACCATGGTGTTAATCAAAATTTATTTTATTTTTATTTCAACTCCTTAAAATATATTAGAAAGATCATGTAATATTCTATAACTATTTCAATGTATTTTTATAGATATTATAAAAATATTTAAATAATTATTTACCATGGTTGGATTGAAAAGATATAATATGCAAGTGGCTATAAATTTTTTGTAAAATTATAGTATTTTTTAATTTAAACTATATAAGAAAGTTATTGTTTACATTAATTATATAAATAAAATAATATGTAAAGCTAAATTTTTTATTTTGGTTTACAGGACATATAAGATAAGAATCCTAATATGCAAGTGGCTATATATTTTTTTGTAAAATTATAGTATTTTTTTAATTTAAACTATATAAAAAGGTTATTAAAGCTATTTTTTTTTTAAACTATATAAAAAGGTTATTAAAGCTATTTTTTCTTTTTTTTGATTTACACCATATATAAGATAAGAATCATAAGATGTAAATAAGATAAGAATCCTATCTATTTTGGAGTTTGAGGATTTACACGGTATATAAGAAATTAAGTATCTTATTTTAAACAATTAGGGAATGTATCCGAACCAAAAGCCGAAGCATGTAATGTTGCCAAATAAGCTTCCGAAGCGTGCGAGGCAGCCATTTAGGCTCAGCACGTTTTTAAATTATATTAAGAGGGGATGTTAAATAAAAACTTTTATTTTTTAAAATTGTAAGTATTAATTTTTTAACTAACTTGTAGGTTAGAACATCTCCAATGCTCTAATGTTTTTATAGGATAAATTTTGACAAATGTCAAAAAATTAAATAGATTGTGAACCATTTGAAAAAATGTTGAGTTCACAACTATTAAATTAAAAAATCATCTTCAGTGCACAATGTAGTCTAATTAAATTATTATCTACTTGCCAAATATTAAAATTTTAATATGAATTAAGAAAATTAATTAAATAATTAAATAGCTTGAAAATGATAAGAATAATTCTCTCTCTTCTTTTCATTGGCTAACTAGAGTGTGGAGGAGAATGAGGATGAACCACATTCTTTTATACATTGTAGACATTAATTATGTCCACATCATCACAACAATTGTGAACACATTGTACGTTAAAGCATGAAAAGTTGTGATATTATAAAATGTGCTGATGTGGAATGTAATTTACAACAACAACATTTGAGCATTAGAGATGCTCTTACACAAGTGTAGTAATGCTACTAGTTGCATGTTACAACATTGCGTAAAAGTGAAACACTCATTGTTTGAAATTGTGTCGGTGTAAAAAATATTTCACAACTTCATGTAGACTAACTTTAGCGTTGCGCCATATTGGTATATATCATTGAAGTTGTGCAACTATTCTAAATAAAATTACTCCATTCATCATCAACATCAATTTTATTTGCGCGTATACTAACCTTAATTTTTATTTGCAATTATAACAACATTCTAATTTTTATTTGTAATTGTACTACATTCTTTAAAAAACACAATAAATATATCAATTATCTTCTCATAAGAGCCCAGAAAAAATGATAGATGAGGCAATAATCCGCCTTTGTTATTCTTTCTTATATACATATGCTTCATGCTTACATTTGTCAGTCGTGAACTCTTGTAATTGGCCTTTCGGCTACTTCGGGAGGTAAACCGCGAGATGTGCTCTACTGTCAGGCGTTAGCCACACTGCCCCCCTTTATACCCTAGCGCCCCAAAAGGTCTAACATCACAATAGGTGATTATCAGTATGTCTTCTTTCCTCAAAAGGAGGAAAAAGCTGCAGAGAGTTCCCTCCATCTGGGATTTGATCCTCCTACGCAGAACATTCGAGCCCAACGTGGTGGTTTTGCTAAGCAGGGTATGTTGTGCGGCGCCCGTCTTTGTTATGTTGGAGTATACTGTAGAAGCTCGGCTTTGTGTTACTCAATTCCATTTTGAATGAGATATGTGTTTTTAGTCAATTGTATGTTCTTAGTTTATTTATTTATGCGAACATAGTTTCTTTATTTTACATTGTAGATAATATGGTCCGATGTATCAAACCGAATGATCATATTATCGGTTCCTTGTAAAATATGAATATTTGTTCACAACCTATACTGAATTGAATTAATTATCATGAAAGACTGTAATCTGGTTTTGAATTAGTTGGTATTTGACTAATGAATTACACTAGTACATCTCGTATATATTGGACTAGTCTTCATATCATCGAGCCATGTGCTAATTAGGGCTAAGCACGGGTCTTGGAGATTACCGAACCGTACCGAAAACCGAACCGAACTTACCCGAACCGAAAAATATCCGTTGACCGTTTGACTATCTACGAACCGAACCGTACTGAATTTTTTTTTGGTCTGATTCTGGAGATTCATAAAATATTCGTACCGAGAACCGAACCGAAACTAACCGTACCGAACCGAGGAACCGTACAAGAACAGATTCCAATTCATAAAATCTATATATATATATATATATTATGTTTTATCATATGTATTTTTTTCATCTTTGTACATAATTGTATTCAAATAAAATCTATTACAACTAATATGTATTGTACATAATTGAAAAGAAAAATAAATTAATATATTCTTTCTATTACAAAATTTTATAGCCAACATGTCAAATATTTTATTAAGAAAATCATTAAATATAACTTCATATAATTTGAATTCCGAATGTTTGGGAAACCGACCTTTATGAAGTAAGTCTTTCACAAAACTTGGAGAAAAATTATTTATTTAAAGGTGATATATTCTAAAATAAAAATAAAATGATATATATCTTTACGATAATATTAGATTAAGAACGGATATATCGATTATTTTATTAATAAAATTAAATATATTCACTTTTTGAAAACAAACTTTATATGTGTTGGGATCTGTGAGGATTTCGTTATGTACAAATCACGAATTCAATAACAAACGTAAACCTATGCGCAGCGGATCTAAAGGTTTGACGTAGAGAACTTACGGCTTTAAAATTTATGTAGATCTGGTTGACCACGAACGGTTGACCGCAATTGATTGACCGCAACACGCGTCTTGGGTTGCACGAACAAGATCAGATCAAAATCGGATCAAACGGATGCAAACAGATCAAAACGAAACTTGCAGCCTGGGAGATTCCGGCGGCGCGTGAGGGCGCGTCCGGCGTCGGATTCCGGCGATCTCGGCGGCGATGGAAAGCTCTCGTCGAGACGGTCGACTGGGTATACTGTACGTCTCAATCGGACTTCCGGTTAGTTCTGTAGGTCAAAATATATTTCGTCTCGGTTTACCTACAGATCTTCTACTGTATTACTCAATACACCCTTCTTCAACTTGTACCAGTGGAGCAACAAGAAGAAGATAAAGCTCGAATGAGATCTAGAGAGAGAGGCGTGTGAGGCGTGTTTCACGTGAGATGTGAACTCTCATCTCTTCTCATGAGCTTAATGATGTATATATAGAGCTACAATAGGGACCCTAAGGAGATTAGGAAAAGGGCTCCTTAATTAATTAGACTAACTGTGGGCCAAACCCACTCCTCTAATTAATTAAATAATATTAATGTACCACCAACATTATATTATTGCACTCTCTTTCCCTAGCCCAAATTACATTTGAGACTCCAATAATAATTACTCGATTTACCTCCCCACGTTTAAGATATAATGTCCATTAATTAATTCGATTACTGACAATCAAGAATTAATTAATTTATTATTATTTCACCGAAGCTAGCGCTCGTTCATCACATTCTTATTATGCCGGAATTTAATCCACCTGCAGGGATTAGCATAACAATCCTTCATGAACTCACTCCGGGGACATCATCAAACTAACGCACATGGTGACCGTAAATATCCTAACAGCACATCCTATATATAATAATATTACCAAAAACAGTAGGAATATTAATCCAGCGAACTGAACCTCGCTCATGTGAATCAAAGTAATATATATTATATATATCTGCCTGTTTAATATCTTACGGGTTAAGAGAATGCAGTAATTAACCGAGGCCTAGTTCATTTACGACGATCA